TGCTCAACCATTAAATGTAAAAATTTTAATTCCCAGAATTAAGTTTGAAAAGCACTTCACACAGCATCAGTGTTTATCTGATATTACTGAATCACCAAGATCTCCAAGTCAGCTGAATCAAACAGAATCATATCTGAACTTTGTGAAATGAAATCGAGTTGAACTGGGAGTTCAGTGATATCCAGGCCTATTTCACCTAATATACAAACACTGCAAGTGTACCTTTATCTGCATTTATCCATCCTTGTGCTGCTGCTGTAGGCTATTGTGCTTTTACAAAACATGTCTTGTATTCAGAAATTAAACTAACATGTAAAAGTACCAAAAAGACATACAGTATGTCTAGAAGGGGGCTTTAAATTTCTTCTCTGTGAGAACTCTGGTGCACTTGATTGGCAGTGAAACCAAAATGCGAGGTTTTACAGGTTGACAGAAATCTGATAGCCAGCAGTTCCTCGTGCTTGGAAAGTCAAATATATGGAGTCTAGAACAGCAAGGAGCATGGATATTATGTTCAGATAAAGTTCCAGGAGGTTATATCAGATTCCTTTTGGTATTGTTAAAGTGGAGGAAACTTTTGAGTTTTGAGAAGGATGCTGTTAAAGGAAGGATATGACTGAATGTGAAGGCTCTTATGACTTTAGTTGGGGTTCTTGACTTTGGGTCAGCACAGATGAAACTATCATCTGTTTGCATATGCATGTGCTTCTGCTGGGCCATATGCCTGCACTGTTTTTTTAACAATTCAAATCAGCTCTGTCCACACAAAAGATCTGCTTTGGGGCAACACAGCTACTCAGTCATGCTGGAATCCAAACACTGACAAAAGCAGAGTCAACATGTTTTAATGGTGTTTTCTGTGGGTCTTCACGGCTTTGGTAAGTGGACTGACAGAAAATCAAGTAATCACTTGGAAACAACCCAAATTGCACTGTATAATGCAACACAGACTATTTTAACTGTCTGTTATTTGTAATCAGTCACATTACAGTATATGATGCTGCATATACTGTGTGTATATTAGGGTTGGAGCAGCAGCCACCAGACATCTGGTGTTTTTCTTACTTAAACTGTTACTGTGCGTCATGAGTAGTTGGTATCTCCTCAAAATGATGGAGGAGGGCACAAGGATATCCTATTTGGTGACAACATTTATGGAACTAACCTGAAAAACAAAACAAAACAAAAGCAAGGCTACGTGTCATTTGTACTTGCCAGAGCAGTGTGTGTTGTCATTACTGTTGGTGGAGTTCTTGCCGTAGGAACATATTTCAGGAGGTGCTCCTCAGGTATGAGAGGCAAGGAACGAATGTGGGTCGTATCGGTTTGAGGACTTGTAATTTTGTTTGCTCTCACATCTTTTCTTTGCACCTCTCTCTTGCTTCCCCACTGGGAGAAGGTAAGGTTGTCTTGGCATCATGTATTTTGAGTAAAATTATGAGCAGCCGAGTAAGAAAAACTGTCCATGTCGGCTTCCAGGATTGAAATGCTGGAATTGCTGGAAGCAATATCTCCCACTTGGTGAAAAGTACTACAGACGTATCAGCAAAGTGTTGCTGGAATGGCTGCCTATGTATCACCTCTGGCAGCTACATCCAAACAAAATCCAATATTAACACTAGAACAATCAATTCAGCTCATTTTACAGGAGCTATAGGAGCTGTTTGTTTCTATCTGTTTTCACTTGGTAATAAACTGCTACAAATACATAACACAACAGAAGTAGCATCCGGCAGTTGTATGGTGCGGCTACAAGGTTAGCACATGTGATAACCACAGTGGAATAATGTGGAAATACGCTGCGACATTGTATGAATACAGCATTAGACGTGAGGAAGAGACACAAGTGAGGAAAGCAAGGTGCCACAGTAGCTGAATAGAAAGAGTCCTCTATGTACTACTCAGCCACTAGCTTTAAAATGTTCTGAGCCTCCAAATTCTGAGTGTGTAATGTAAGCCCTGCAAAAGCCCTTAAAATCACCACCATGGAACCAAAGTAAATAGTGTCTATGATTTACTGCATGCTGCTAACAACCCCAGTGCCAATCATTTTACAGATGCAAAAATGACATATATGTCAGTGAAGATGCCAAATGATAAGTGCACACTGCTTCTACTGAGTCTGTCATTTATATAGGGAGGAGTGAATGAGTGAAAATACACAGCTCTACAGTATTCACAGCCTCAAGTAATATGAGTTTACACTGCATCTGATTTATTTCTTATGTACTCACCAGATAGGACTCGGTGTGTTCACTGAAATAAACACACATTTAGTTAAATGATGTCTAGCCTTCATTTGTAAAACTGATTTTCTAACTGTTGCATCTCCTCAGTAGTTATTCATGTTGTCTGATGGCTGTACATAAAAACATCATGTTCTTTGGTATTGGCCTGGATTACTGCCATTTCTGGGAAAACCTCAAACCTCCAGATTAGCTTCAAACAAGTTTCTGTATTCAAATGTTTGGACACTCATTAATTAAACAGTTCGTTACAGAGCTGGGACTGGCCTGTGCAGTGGGATGTTACCATATTGCTGCATCTGCGCATGCACGCGAATGCATGTGCAAGAGTTTTCTGTAAAAAGGGCTTCACACAGACATCCACATAGCATGCGCACACTCTCACTCTCTGTCTGTCTTTGAGTGTATTTATGGCTCTAATTGTCACATTCACTGGGCACCAAAAGGCTCTTTTGCTGGCTAAAAGCCTACAGCTGTAGAGTATATATCCAATAGAAGGGGTTTTCCTCTTGTGCCACAGACAACAAGCCTTCATCATGGAGACAGAAGGACACCAGAGGAAAAAAACTATCATCTGCTGGCTAATCTTCAAGTCTTTTTTTACATCAGTGCAGTGCAGAGTGAGCAGAGGGATGGAATGAAACTCATGTTCATATTCTCATTAGCACAGCAGAGGCAGGGAGAAGAGAGGACATCACACCACACTGTGGCTGCATGGGAGAAACTGGGAAGGAATTATACAAGCTGTCCACAAGGTGGTATTCGTACAAAAACTCACTTTAATGCATTACTGTTACCACTAACAAAGTAATGTAAGTATTTACTGTTTAACTGTCAAGTGTTTTACATATAAAATGGTGCAAAGAGAAAGGTTCAATAATGCTTTAAAACTCACACTTAGTAGCCTATTCATTGACTGGCCTGCTGAATAATATACTGTTGTGTGACTATGCACATGTGGGCGTGAGTTGTTGCCTAGTGACGGCTGCTGTAAGTGGAAGAAGACTGAACGACAGTATAAGTGCTGTCAGGGCAGATGCAGGAAGAAATTTCTAAAAGTAGAACATCTGAGATGGCAGACTGAGAGCAAGCAGAGGCACTGTCATGTCTTAAAGGAGCTGCACAAAACCAGAGCCACATAAAAAAACTGACATTTGCATAAATTCATTTCTTATGTTTTCCAACAAAACAAAAGAGAAAAGCAGTGAAGTAAACATGGATGCTCTTTAAAACTTGTATGTGGAAAACATACACATTCCACTATTGGGAAACAATCCTAACTACTGGGGCCCCATGCCGAGTCAAAAGACAACTCAACAAAGAAGAGCACTTAGTATTTCTTTAAAACGCTTCTCCTGATATGATCATGGACCGTTAGTCCTAAACTATCATACACATGATTAACGGCACCTGAGCGACATGCCATAAGGAGAAATGAGCAGCATGCATCACATGAACAGTAGCTAGAATGTGAGTGAGAGCTGAGACCTGTCAGCAGTTATCATGTCAGCTGTGTGGAGAAAGCGGGAGAAAACAGCGAAGCCAAGTCCAATTTATGTAATGTCAACGTTTCGAGAGGTGGCAGCAGCATTGGAAATGTCAACACCATGAACTTGATTAAACACTTGCAGAAGCTTCGTGGAAAGCAGCATGCTGAATTTATACAGCTATAACGAGTGCCAAGAGGAAAAGTGTGCCACACAACAACAAACACTGCAGAGAACAATTCAGAAGTGTGAGAAACCCCCTTCCGACAGCAACAAAGCAAAGCTGATAATGGAGAAAGTGACTGAATTCATTGAGCTGGATGACCAACCCTTTTCTATTGTTTAATGGAGTATTTGGAACCTGTTGCCAATCTGGCACTCCATCTTTGACACAGCTGACCCAAATGAATAGAAGCAAGTGAGTGAATTAATTTTGAAATGTGCCATGATTAGTCTCACAACTGACATCTGGAGCTCAGACGCGTGTCCTATGTCGCTACTAAGCCTGACTGCACAGTGCAGTGCAAGTGATGCACTGGCTATTGGAAGAAAAATCATGGGTCACTTCAAGCACTCAGCAATGGCCTATTCACGCTTGGAGGTCATTCAAGCGGAGTTTAATATGTCCCCCAAGCGTCTGCAGTGAGATGTATGAACGAGGTAGGACACTACCTATTACATGATCGAGAGCCTCTGTGCACAGAAATGGGCCGTGTGCACACACAGTGGAATATGACCTGCTGGCCACATTGACTGCAAACCAGTAGGGGCTACTGGAAAAGACCATTGCAGTTTTAACCGCATTTGAGGAGTTGACAAGGGAGCTTCCCATCTGCATCTAATATTATTGTCAGTGTCCTTAAACATGTTCTCACATGAGAAAATGGGGACAACAAGGGAATTAAAAGCATGAAAGGTAGCCTTCTTTTAAGAGCTTAATTGTATCACTATTGGCAGCTACTCAAGTCTGTGGTATCGGTATCGGACATGAATAAATGGTATCGAGCCACCCCTAACATTATACAATAAAGACAATATTCACAAATGTCAATAAAAGGCAGTAATTTGGGGTTAGGGTTAAAATTCAACATATTCATAATTCCAGCAGTGTTGAGTCATAATGATCAGATCAGTTTCAAAATAGCTGTTCCACTTTTGGTTTAAAAAGTAGGCAGACCCAAAGCTATGAGATAATGCCATTTATATCGACATCCACAGAGAGAAACCATAGCATGTCACTTAGTATGACAAGGTATCAGAGTCCTACCTTGCAGCCCTCACAAGCACTGACACCATAGTGGTATCCAGAGGACTTGTCCTGGCAGACAAAGCAGGGCTTGTAGACTCTGGGAGGGGGCGGCGGGGGGGCTGCAGGGAATGCAAACAAGAGGAAAAAGATGAAGAAACTCTGTTACCAAATGACTTAATGATTAATTTAGACATCTTGAACAAGAAAAGTACATTTACCTTTAAAATTAGGAAACAAGATATTATTCAAAACTGCCTTGTCAGAGAATTATCCTGTCAACATGTCATAGGCCTATGCTATTAGGCTATAATGGATGGTATTAGTTAGCTTACTCTAAATGTCAAAGTACTTCCCGGGGTAAGTTTGTTTGATTTGGTCCTGTTGATTGACTGGGTTGTGTTAGCATTTAGTTAAATATGAAGTGTTATTTCACATTTCGTAAGCTAACTATTAAACGGTAAATGGACTTATACTTGCATAGCACTTTTCTATGCATTGATGCACGCCCAGAGTGCTTTCACACTATTTGCCCATTCACTTTATTCACACACACAGACTGATGATATCACTGGGAGCAATCTGGGATTCAGTGTCTTGCCCAAGGACATACAGACTGGAGAGCCCTGCCAGGACAACCCAGCGTACCTCCAGAGCCACCTCCACCATACCATCCAGTAATTTGCTGTGTCTCAATACAGATTCTGTACTAGTATGTTCTTTCCATCATTTTTCTATAACAGTGTTTACATTCAGTTATTCAACAAAATGCGGTGTGTATCCTTGAGGTCTAACAGATGTGCTGAATGCACTTCTTTCCTCATTAGCAAAATTGATTTTCAGTTTTTTCCAGGGTTTACATCCATGTTTGCTTGCTAGCAGTCATCTTCCTCACTGCCTTTCTTGGTGCATTGCTTAACAGTTGAAGCGCACTCATGAACACTGCTCCGCACTACTAATGGTGAGAATCTCCACGAGCACCTTTAAGTTAGTTATCTGATGCCAACATTATTGCAGGCACAACATGGGGCCTGTGACTATATTTTTGTGTTTACACAGGGTTAGATCTAGTGGCAAATTTGTTGTACAACACTAAACAGGAAGAGGCAGTGCTGCCAGGTGTATTTGTACAATACCTTGGCCCACTGTACAATACATGATCACTAACCTGTAAATGTACAATCATTAGGGCTGGGGTATTAACAAAATTTTATTTTGGATCTTGGATTGTGTTCGTTGTGTCTTGGGTTTCATAATCGGCGGGCTGGGGACTAGCTCCTCCGAACTGGTGCTCTGTGTTTCAATGGCTGCAGGGAATGCAAACAAGAGGAAAAAGCCAAAATGGCTTCCAAAGATTATGAAAACAAAATATTCAATAAAATGATTATTGTGCAGCACTTTGTTTCACAGTAATGCTTTTGTTTTGTCATGTGTTATAATTCCAGCGCACCCCTTCAGGGCTCTACAGTGCAAGCATTTTTTGCTCATATCAGGTGAAGTGAAACGTTGAGTTGACAGCATCTAAGGTTGTTAATGTATGTGCAATAAAACCCCCACAAGTAAAAAGTAACTAAGAGTAATTTGTCAAAAACCTCTGTATGAACATGCAGAGAACTGATCATTTCAGCTTCCTGTCATGCACCACACCAGTTTGTTAACCATAGAAAGCTTGTTAAGCTAATAGCTAACTGTTATAAACAAGCTAAAGCAAAACAGGACTGTTACTGTTAAGCCAGAGGGAGAGAGATGGATGTGGCTGAGTGATTCTTTAGGTTATGACAGGAAATATTGTTAACCCAAAGTAGCAATGTTGTGTTTGTAAATGAAATATACTGTAGAAGAATCAAAGTAGCAAAGTTGTGCTTGTAAATGAAATATACTGTAGAAGAATAAGTAATTTCCTCTGAAATGTCAATCATTATTAGGTAGATGAAATACTTAATTTGTTCTTGAGTTGAATGATATTTAAAGTTCTCAAAACCCCACTGTTTAAAGACTTTTTAAAAGTTCAATAAATGCATGTTTCCAAAGTCAGTGAGTAATTGTGTTAAAAAATCTCAGTACTGACCAAAATCATCGTGATTATGATTTTTTGCCATAATCACGCAGCCCTAACAATCACCATGTCATTCAGTAGTTCCATATTTTCTCTGTAGGAGTGAAATGCTACAGAGCTGTTGTGAAATGAGCCTGATTCATTGCACACTAACCATGTGGATAATGTGACTAACCCTGGATCTGCCCTTAATGATGCAATCATACCACTGCAATCATAATACACTCCTACCGGAGTCTATGCTGAGGCCCAGCCGCTGCCTACATGAACACAACCTGTCTGCATCAGAAATGGAGAACAGTCTCTCCAGTATCGCAGCTGATTAGATTACATTCGTCCATACTTTATCAGAGTAAACTAAATTACTGATGGTAAGGTACATGCTCTTATAATTATTGGACTGTCGTACTTTCATGGCATTCCCTGGTGGTTTAATCCAATCATCTGCAACATTAACCCAGAGTGACTTTTTGGGCATGTTGAATTTGCAGTTTTGCATTTAACAACTTCGGTGACTTGAGGGAACAGTTAACAAACCTGCCGAACATACAGGGCTATATGTCAGGATCAAAGTGACCTCTGCAGTGAAGGGTGAGATAGGTCAAGGTCAAAGTGTTTATTGTCATATGCACAGTTAGGAAACGTGTTTCCCTGTACAATGAAATTCTTACTTTGCCGTCCATATGAATGCCACAAAAATAAAAGTGAAATATAAAGTAGATAAATAAGTAACACAAAATCTAAGGCACTTTAAGCAGCAAATGCAGCAATATAATAAATATATATAAGAATATAATAGAGAATGTATGCTGCATGGGAGCAGCATGTGCAGCAGTCAACAGTCATTGTGCAAACTGAGAATGTAAACAGTACATCACGTATTTCCTGGTAATAAACTCCTCAGCTGTTTAGGAGTCTGATGGCAGAGGGAAAGAAAGAGTTTTTCAGTCTAGTGGTCCTACATTTCACACTTCTGAACCTCCAG